CGCACCTGGAGCGGCCTGGGGGTGGGTGGGGGAGCGGGCAGCGGCGGCGCAAGAGGAGAGGGACCGAAAGGCTCGCTTGCTGGAGGCTGGACTTCTGCGCACCTTTCCCAGAAGAGGCAGCGCCGGGCATTTAGCCGGAAGGGTGGGAAGGGAACAGCGTTCCATGCACCTCGCAGGCATTTAGTCGTGCCCGGCCCCATGGCCTCAGAGAGACGTCTTCGGACAGCGCTGGCTCTTCGGCTAATGGGGACGGAGATGAGCACCGCATCCCTCGAGTTGGATTCGGGTGGCTTTCGAGCAAGGGGAACCTTTACCTTTTTTAATTGGCAGTGCCCTCAACGTAACAGGTGATTTATGGTGACCCCGTGGGGTTTACAAGGCAGGAGACAGTTCAGGGGTAGTTTGCCATTGCATTGCCTCTGTGCCACAACCCTGACCGCTCTTGGTGGTCCCCCAGCCAAATACTCAAAAGGGTCGACCCTGCTTAGCTTCCAAGCTCGCCTGCACATAATCAGTACAATTCAAATAGAAATACAAAGCACCTTTGAAGCCACCCTGTCCGGAGCTGCAAGAAGAACTCATCCCCTTAAGGGACAGGAAAGCTTAATTTCCTTTCCTCCTCCTGGAGCATAAATATGAGGTGCAGGGCCTCACATGCTGCTCCTTGGGGTTAAATGTGGTTCCTGGTTCTGAAAACATCAAACAACCACTGCCCAAAGGTGCAGAGGGCATTGATGGGAGTGGGAAGCACTTTTCATGCAGTCAGCTGCTTTTAGCAGGAAAACAAACACACTGAGAGTCTGTCTTTGCTTTCAGAGTGACGAGAAAAGTTTGCCAACTTAACTTTTGGGGTTAGCTGCATTAACGTATCGGCACTGAGGACAGGTCTGGTGGGTAGCCATGCTGGTCTGAAGCAGCCGAACAAAGTCTGAGTCCACTTTTCGGACACACACTTCAGATACACGCAGGTGTCTGAAGACGTGCCGTGTACAAGCTTTGGGGGACAGTTTGTCATGGCCAAAATAGATCTAAACCGAGGGACTCAAACTCCACACCACACGTGAAGTTCACAAGGCTATGGGCACCAGTTGTAAAATATATGGCAGAGAACAGAATGCGTCCCTCAAACCCCAGTTATCACAGTTGGTTGTTCCTGTAAAATACGGAGAACAAGAAAAACTGTGAAAAAGTGACGCTTCATATATATGTCTTTAAAGAATCATAGAAAAGTGAACAAAAAATAATATACATAATCGTATAAAAATATATTGACGGTGTTCTCCGGAATGTCTTGTCGTTTCAAACGAAGATCTTCTTCTGAACAAAGATGTGGGACAAAAACTCTCAATAGTTCATATCCTCTGGTGACGTCTCACAATCATCAAAGAAGATTTTCAATAATCATACCAGCTGTAATTTATAGTAGATAATTGTGAGACGTCACCAGAGGATATGAACTATTGAGAGACAGTTTTTGTCCCACATCTTTGTTCAGAAGATCTTAGTTCGAAACGGCAAGACATTCCGGAGATCACCGTCAATATATTTTTCTATGGTTATGTATATTATTTTTGTTCACTTTTCTATGATTCTTTAAAGACATATATCAAGCGTCATTTTTTTTCACAGTTTTTCTTGTTCTCCGTATTATCTCATTACTGTGCCAATCAATTGTTATTGTTCCTGTAAAACGCCGCTAATCTCAATCCTCCAACTAACGTAACACAATTGTTCGGTCTCTATCACACTAGCTCCAAACACCGCACACTAAGGTTCGATTGGGCTACCAGAGTAACCACAGAGTAAAGAATAAACATAAACGTAGTAAATAAAGTTAATAGCCGGGATTGTCATCTTACAATTATAAAGTATAGGGGGGGCGGAGCGTCGGTCTGCATGGAGACGGACGCATAGAAGCCGAGCTCCTCGACCGGACCCCTTGATTCCTAAATCGTTAAACAAAGATCGTACAAATTGCTGTCCAGGTTATGGGAAAAAAAGGAGTGAGCACGCGCTTAACCTATCCGGCGTCCTCAAAGCTTTTACATTCTTTTTTGGCCGGAGAAATCCCGACGCGACTTGAACCGGGTGCGCCACGATCGGAAAACAAAATGGCCGCCGGAGCACAACCCGGGACTCCAATTTCGGATCCCCACACCTCTTCCTTGCTAACTACGACGGATTTTAATGCAACTATACAATCCCTGAGAGCAGACCTACTGGGCTCACTTAGAGAAATGTTGCAGCCGATTACCGACCAACTCCAATCGCTACAATTCACGATCCAAGAGGTGGCACAATCAGCAGAAACGGCTATGGAGATGAGCCAGGCAAATCAAGAGGGAGTTCGCAATTTGGAAGCCCATGAGAAATGGGCTAAAGAAAAAATCACTGTCTTGGAAAATAAAGTCCGAGAACGGAATCTTAAGCTCCGAGGCTTTGAAGAGAAAGCTGAAGGGACAACTGAGCTGGCAATTTTTATATCATCTTGGCTAGCTGCAGTTCTTAAACTAGAAGAAGGAGTGGCGCCATTAATACTTAGAGCCTACCGGCTCGGCTCTACTTTTACCCAGCGAACAAGAGCGACGAGGGATATTATTATAGAACTAGCAGACTTCCGTACAAAGAAAAAAATTCTGGATCAATCAAGAATTGCTGGGGGCTTTTCATTTCAAGACAAGCCCATATTAATCTTTCCGGACATTCCATCTGAATCCTTGCAGGTCCGAAGAAAACTAAAACCAATTGTAGCTCAATTGCTTGACGCGGGAGTGAGGTACAAATGGCTCCCAACGGGAGCGATGCAGATTAGACACCAAAACAAGTCTTGGACAGTTGAAGACCTAGCTGGTGGTGCGGAGATTCTAAAGCAACTAAAGATACAAGTGCCAATGGAGTGTGAAAAAGCCTCCAACAAGAGGAAATGGGAAAACTCTTCACCAATAAAAGGCAGCAAGATTCCAGTCCGCTTTGCACAGGGACACGTATGATACAATGATCTTAGCATATTGTTTCCTGTTTATTTCGCGATCTTTGTTTAACTTAACTAGCTTGAGCATTAAGCTCATTGTATATCTTGGTGGAATTGGGGGGTTCGGGATTGAGAGGACACCTTGGTTTCTTAGTCCTCGGGGGGAGGTGAGAGGGACCTAATGGAGGAGTCGAATGTACTCCGTCTGGGTGAAGGGGGGTGAAAATTCTTTCTTCCCCTGGACCTGTGGGGTTACCCATGGTTGCAATGCCTATATATTGTAATGTTATATTTTTATTCTGTGGTTTGCGTTGGCTATTTGAGATCTCTTAGTTTCATCTGGGAAGGGGTGGGGGAGGGTGGGGGGCGGGGGAATTGGATCTTTGGAACACATGGGAAGATGTTATCTTCTTTAAAGTATGGTAAACCTTACCATAATTGTTTGCAGGGAAATCTCGGGAGGGTGGGGGGTTTGTTGTGGGTGTTATG